TTCTCTACAACTGTGCCTGTGGGACAAAACGAAGGCATTATTAGTTCATGTCGTATCGACAAAACAGGAAACAATCTCCCCAAAAAATAAATGAAAAACATAGAACTACAGACCGATAAACATTTGCATCATGAGAACCAGATGAAGGATTTGGTGAGTATTAAAACAAACCTCTTGATGTCAAAGTGGGATCTCTGATGGTTTTTTAAGGCCAACAAGTTGTAGAATCTTTTTTGGCAGACGAGACATCTGTATACACCAGTTTTATGGGACTTCTTGTGGTTGAGGAGGGAGCCGGCATGTCTGTACGACCTCCCACACTGATCGCACTTGTACTGACGATCTTCAGAATCACCTGCTTCTTTAACGGATCTACTGTCCTCGATCTGGGCCACATCTTTAGCCCCAATTTCCTCCTTACAATCACTAAACTTTTCTTTCCTGTCAGCTTCGCAGCCATGGGTCTCCAGATGATGATAGGTGGTACAAATAATTCCACAGCTGCCACAGATGATGCTCGCTGCTTCAGACACATCCTTGTGCTTAATTTTTTGATCCTCACTATCATTGACCTGAACTTGGTTGTGAAGAAGCTGATGTGTAACCAAGTCCAGCCTGTTTGCAAAACTTTCCCCACAGGTACTACAGATCATCATCTCTCCGAGCACGTCATCCGTCACTTCTTCGTGAGGGGATATGGATGAAGGCTCTGAGCTCACAGGAGTGTCGTTGGCCTGCGTGTGTCCTCGGAGATGGCTCCTGAGAGCTCTCATGCTGGTGTAGCTGTTTCCACATATAGAACACTGATACAGATCTCCATCATCCTCCTCCTCCTCCTCCTCTTCCTCTTTAGTGTCATCACCAGCTCTGTTATCATTCAGTGGATGATTCACTATGTTTTCATGAAAAGTCTCACTGAATAATGTTTGATCATGGCTACTATTAGGACCACAGAATTCTACATTACTCTGAGGGTGACTGGCTGGATACTGACCCTTTCTATTTTGGTAGTTTACATTCAACTCTAGATTATGATGAACATTATTTGTGCTGTGGTGTTGCTGCAGGAGTGGACAAATGTGTGATTTTATCCCTGCAATATCTGCAAATGTCTCACCACAGTCGGCACACATGTGTCTATGCATCAAGTGTTCATTTTGAGGTAGATGCACTGTCATTTGTTGGGAAAAGTTCGTAGCAAACTGCTCCTGGTACAGAGGTCCACTGCCATGATCTATTTCATTTTTCGGATCAATTCCAAACCCTGACTGAAGGCCCTCCTCCTCCTCAGGTGAGGAGAAGGAGCCCTGCTGATGATCCAGAGTCAGTGGCTCTGAGGACAGCCAGTCTCCTTCAGCAACGTTGAGGCTAAAGGACGACGGCTGAGCTTTGTGCAGACGAAGATGACTTTTGAGAGCGGCCAGGTGGGGATAATTCTTCTGGCAAATGGAACACTGGTATATGCCAACCTGATGTGACCTTTTATGGTTGATGAGGCTCCCCGAGTGGCGGTAGCTTTTACCGCAGATTTGACACTTGAAGGGACGCTCATCAGAATCTACAGTTGAAGTCTCTTCTATTTCAGCTGCAATGTCCTGGTTCTCTGTGTGCATTAGGTTAGAACTGTTCATACATGTGTCTGTGACTGGATGCTCTCCCTGAGTGATACTAGACAATGGAGTCTGATTAACTGAGACGGCAGAGTACAGATGACCGTTACCTACAATCTGGTCCTGTGGGTGGTGAAAACCTCCGTTGTTCAGTGATGATAGTGGAGGAATATGATTAACTGGAGGTGGATAAAAGTTAGATTCTGGAGAAGAAATTCTGTTGTCATATGATACACTGTGGTTCTCTGATAAGCTGTCGGGTCCAAATGACACAGAGGAAGAGTTGTGCATTTGGATGTGTGCTTGGAACTCCTCCTCACTGGAGAATGGTACTTGACACAAGTGGCAAAAATGACCTGGAGCATCCTGGCTGTGAGGTGAAAACTGACTTTGTTGTGTTCCTGTGGTGTAAGGCCCGCCCACTGAACCAGGGTCCATCCCAATCCGCCCCCTGTGACTTCTCTGGTGGCTGTAGAGGGCAGACATGTTATTGAACTGTTTGAGACAGACAGAGCACTCAAACATTCCTACCTGGTGGGTTTTTTTATGATTGGTCAGGCTTTGGGGGTGTAGGTAAGATTTGTCGCACAAGTCACACCTGAATGGTCTGTTTCCTGCTTCCTCACAGGAATCAATGTGTGGATTAAAGACAACATCTTCCGTTTCTCCACTTGGACTGTTTACCGTAGAGTTTCCAACACTGTTTGAATGCTCACTAAGATAAGGGTGGTTATTTTCTATTTCATTTATATTGTCCTCAGCATGATACTCCACATGCACCTTCTTAAACGAATGGTCCTTCACTCGCCTGCTGAGGTGAACTCTCTTGTGCGTAGCCAGTTGAGTTGCCAGGCGAAAAGCTTTCCCACATTCTGCACAGGAGTACTTCTTCTGAGACGTGTGGCTCCGGAGATGACTCTTTAGTGACAATGCATTTGAATTTTCTTTGCCGCATATATCACACTGAAATGAACCAACTTCGTGAGTCTTTTTGTGGTTAGCCAGGCTTCCAGCATGCCTATAGCCACGCCCACATTCATCACATTTGAACTTACGTTCTTCCTCTTCGTGAAGGTGGGAGTCCATGTGTTCAAGCAGGCTGTGCATATTTGGACAAACCATGCCACACTGTTTACAGGGGAAGTCTGTTGTTCTGCTTGGCTCTTGCACAGACATCACAAGGTAGTAAAAATAGACTCAAGTTCGCCAGATGCAGTGTGGTTGAGTGGACATGTTGGAAGAGCACAAGCTGACTTTCTTGTCTGCATTGAGGAGAGTTGTCAGACGAGGTCCAAGTTTAGTCCACTAGAGAAGGAGGGCATCAGATTTTGAGAATCACAAAAAGGAACTGTTGATAAGAGAGACATCAGTTAGAGCTGTGGTAAATATATTAGTAAAAACATACTAAGCTAAGGCCTAAAGTAAGTAACCAGATAGTTGATGTGTGACAATGGTGCCTGGGAACTAGTCTGTGTGTTTTTTCCCTACCTTATATTTACCCACCAATATTGCAATACAACTATTTTCTCCCAATTATGCTAAAAAATATTTTCTCCAAATTATGGTAAACAACAATTTGTGTGGCAATATAATCTGACATTCATGATCCACAACAAACAACTGTTCTGCAAAAGGAAAAAGCACAGTTCACATTCTTAACAAAGCAACAGGTCAACTAATGTTCCATCAAAGCCAAACAGACAGGTTTATACTGTTACATATTGACATAGAATGCGTATTGCACAAGAATTGACTAAGGCTGGGCAATATGGTCCAAAAATCATCTTGTTATTTTCTGATAAATCTCAATATACTGTATATATTGTATATCGATATTTTCCCTTTGGAACCATTAACAAAAGATATCAAAGCCACATATTCTAAACTACACAGGGGTTTTATTTTAAATAATGCACAGGTAAATAAAACAAAACAAAAAAAAACATTAAGTAGCCTTTTTTTTAAATAACAAGGGGAGTCAACGACACAATGTAGCAGTTTGTTTTAGTGGGTAGTGCGATGTCTAACACCTAGACACATTAGTGACACACGGTTCACAATCGAACACATACACATTGAAAGTAAAATGATCGATTTTTCTCATGGCGATATGCATCAGATGGAACATGTGAAAAAACCTAGGTGTCAAACTAGAAAGACAGACAAACTATTCAAACCAACACCTTAAACCTATGCAACACACGAGTCAAATCAGAAATTAACAATAAGCTTGGTCTCAATGAACAAGAAACTATGCACAACATGAGCTTTTCTTCATCCATGCCAATATATATACCAGGCTAAAACGAAAGCTAGCTATGTCAACAAACACGGAGACCAACGCCTTACTCGTGCTACAATATTTTGGCTTAGTCGTAGGTAAACAAATGATCTATGTTAATAAGCCCGTCAACATAGTTGTTAGTTAAGTTAAAAAGAGCGATTGAAAAAGCAACTTTCACATAGCAAATAGCTAACATTCTCTAACTCGCAGTTAGCAAGGAGGCTAACTAAACAAACATTGCACCAAAAGCACATTAAGTCGTATTTGTTCAAAGTTACAACTATAACAAACACCACGGATACATACCTGCGGGGGGGGGGTCATTTGTAGTACGTCCTTTCAGAAATACTTCATGCATTACATTTAAAATGTTATATTTGTTTTAAACGCCATCCCATTTCAATTGCAATTGTCTTTTTCTCCTCTCATCCCGGCTCTACGACACTGTTGTTGCTAGGAAACAGGAAATGTGCATCCGTGAAATGCTTCCCTCGTATAGTGACTAAACGGAACTCAAGGTTTAGTCGAGAAATTGAAAGAAGAAAATCACAATGCGAAGATTACATGAAGATAAGCACGTAAGAAAGAAAATAAATGTAACCTTCATGACACCATCCAGGTATTTGAACCGTTATATCTATATATTATTTAACACGCAACTGCTTCCCCAAGCAACCACTCGTTCCTAGTTCTGACGTGAAAGTAAACGTTTGTAAATTACATAAGTTTCAAACAGACACGTATGCTTAAATTGCAACATAAAGCCTATGTACTAAACTACGTGCTAGCATGTAAACTGTTTTGTTGATGTAGATTGACATTTCAAAATTAAACGAATTAAAATGCTGCACACTTAGCTACTTTCGTCATCATGGTCCTAAAGCCTTCCCCCATCCAGCAGCCACTCACTGTTTCACTCCGTAAATGCAATCGTGTACCAGACATTTTCCCGACCCTTATCGGCCAAGCATTTATGTCCTAATTCAGGTAAGAATAGCACTTAAACTAATTTGCACGAATTATATAAAATGTGTAATTATATGGAGAAATATAGCCCGTGCAGTGAGAGGTAATGACAGTTTAACGAGCGGGTTGTTGCCACCGGTCCTAAAGCCAGCCATTTTGAGCCAGTGAAAACTGTCATCAGTCGGGCTAACATGAAAAAAAGAATACGTACATATGTTGTTTGGTGATGATCGCGATTAAAATGACTCCTGATGTTTCACCCCCACCATGTTCGGCCACATGCCCGTCATTCGCGCGTACACACACCGATATCTGTCATTGCATCCCCAACTTCCTCTGGCATCAAAAACTAGCTTATTGTCCCTGAGGTCCTAATGCCAGCCATTTTGGGACTGAATATATAAACCCACATGTTGTATTGATAATATTTGTTTAACAGATCTTTATATCATTATCAGCTAGTGTCACTGATGATAGCTGATGATCTCTCATATGCAGGTTCCTAGCCAGACTACTCGTAGAGAGGTGCCCTCTGACAAAGTTAGAAGTATAACATACTAATTCTATGTGTCGTTTTATTAAGCATTGAACACTTTTAACATTAAAAAAACAAACAAACGAGAAGATCAAATATTATTTTTATTATTTTATTAGAAAATCTACCAACAACTAACTGCTGTGGTGCACAAAAAATGAAAATCTTCTCACATGTGTGTAAATCAAATACACATTTAGCATAACATTACTGTGCAGTCACTTTAGGGAGCTAGAAAGAAAGAGAAATGTGAACACGAACTATTTACCTGAGTTAAACAATAATACATTTTCAAGGGTCAAAACTGCAGTAAAAACACTAACAGGACAAATAATGACACGGTGCACCAACATGTGTCAAACTCAGGCCCAGGGGCCAAGTCTGGCCTGCAGTGTAATTACATTTGGCCCGTGAGTCATATCAAGTGTGTACTAGAGTTGGCCCCCACAGTATATAGCCTATATATACTGGCAGGATTTGTAGTATTAGCAGTGTATGGACTATGTTATAGCACATACATTTGGGTTTTTTTTTGTTGTTGGCCTGTGAAAAAAAGATTTACATTAAAAAGGAACATGAAAGGCTACAGATAAAGAGACATAATAAAAAACAAATACTACTGATGTTTTTTTTGTTTGTTTGGTTTTTTTTTTTCAAATTTAATTTCTGTGTATGTAATTATAATATTAGTCTTTGGTTCTTCCAGGTTTAAAGTTTAGGCAAAACTAAAATTAAATTAGTAAGTTACATTACAGATCTGGAGAGAAGGGGAAACATGCACAATTGTGGTCAATTTTTCAATAAATATTACGTGAATTTGAGTTTGACAGCCCTGCTGTACAAAGTAATGACATGTTTAGCAACTCCACACAGTGCTCTTTACATCACTAGTTCAGTGTACCGTAAACTTGCTTTGAAATATTGACCTCATCACTTCACTGTTGTTCAAACACATTCAATTGTGTTGACATTTTTGGTACAGACTTACACTTCTCCAGGTTCTCTTCTCTGTCTTTCCTATGATCAATAAAAAAATATGATGTTTGTGTTTACTCTTCTTGCAGGAACAAAGATGGCCTCATCAAAGCAGGGCAACCCAGCTCTAACAGAGCAAGGCACTCCTCCCTTGCGAAATAAAGAAAGTGCAGTAGAAGTGGAAGTGGTGCTGGATGAACAGCCCATAACAAGACGTACTCGAGGCCGGCCTCCAAAAGCAAAACCTTTCAAATGCCCTTCATGTACAGAGGTTTTCAGGAGTGTGTTAACTCTACGGAGCCACAAATTGACCGCCCACGCAAAAGAGCGTCCGCAGCAACACACATGCTCTCAGTGTACCAAGACCTTCTCAAGCAAGGCTCAGCTCTCAAAGCATGAACGCACTCACTCAGCCCAGCGGCCATTTCAGTGTCCTGATTGTCACAAGGCATATAAGACCCCAACGGAGCTACGCAACCACAGTCGCTCCCACACTGGAGAGAAACCGTTCATTTGCATAGAGTGCGGGAAGGCCTTCATGCAGGCAATCTGCCTGAGGATCCATATGACGCAGCACAGCGGAGAGCGCCCTTACTCCTGCCGTCAGTGCTCTAAGAGCTACCCCACTCTGTCTAAACTAAAGGTGCACATGCGCTCTCACACAGGAGAAAAGCCATATTTCTGCGCCGAATGCGGCAAGAGTTTTGCAGACCCCTCTGTGTTCCGTAAACATCGAAGGAACCACCAGGGCCATCGACCGTACGCCTGTGAGGAGTGTGGGAAGACGTACACTGAGCTGAAGGACCTAAAAAACCATGAGCGCTCCCACACTGGAGAAAAACCATACCTGTGTTCAGACTGTGGCAAAGCCTTCTCTCGCTCCTCCTCCCTGGCTTGCCATCAGCGTATTCATTCCCAGAATAAACCCTATCAGTGTGAGCAGTGTGGCAAAGGCTTCACCCAACTGTCCTCCTACCAATCTCACCTCCGGACTCACTCTGGTGAGAAGCCTTTTCTCTGTCCACAGTGTGGCAAGATGTTTTCAGACCCTTCCAGTTTCCGTCGCCACCAAAGAGCTCATCTGGGCTTTAAGCCCTACCCTTGCGATAAGTGCTCCAAGAGGTTTAGGCAGCCGGCGGATCTGGCTGTGCATGAGCGTGTTCATTCAGGGGAGAGACCTTACAAGTGCCAGAGCTGTGACAAGGCCTTTGTGGCATCGTGGGACCTGAAGCGCCACATGCTTGTACACACAGGGCTACGGCCTTTTTCGTGCACCGAGTGTGACAAGTCTTTTGCAGAGCGCTCCAGTCTTAACAAACACCGGCGTGTGCACTCTGGAGAGAGGCCCTTCAAATGTGAGGAGTGTCCAAAGTCCTTTGTTGTGTCCTCCAGCTTGCGCAAACATAAAGGAACTCACCTCGCCGAGCATTCTGAGCAGCAGCAGCAACAACCGCTACAACAGGAAACAGGGGATGAGCCCGCTGCAGGCTTCCCTAGCCACACAACTCTCCCTCAGTTTTCCTGTACACACTGTGATGCGACTTTTGGAACATGGGATGAAGTTCAGACCCACGAAAGCCGTCATCAAATCGACTCCTCACCCGTGACTGTGACAAAAATGGTGTCGCTGGGCTCGCACGTCTGTGACACCTGCCAGGCAGAGTTTGCACAGCTGGCAGATTTACAGGAGCACGAGAAGCAGCACCCCAAACCCAGGCCTCATGTTTGCAACAGCTGTGGCAAAGGCTTCCTCAACAAATCTGGACTTCGTAAACACCAGAAGATCCACTCCACCAACAAACCCCACAGCTGCCCTCACTGTGGCAAAGCCTTTCTGTTTGCTGCCTACCTTCGCAAGCACTTACGGACTCATGGAGAAAACGCTGCCACTCCCCAACATCTCACCGACCTGAACATTATTCACACAGACCCACTTCCTTCTCCTCCTCCACCCAGCGAGGTCTCCCCTACCACTGTGGAAACCAGCACCATATCCCTGATGGTGCCAGTAACTGTACCTGTGACTTTTCAGAGCCTGCCAGAGTATTTGGTCAAAGAAGAGGGACTTTAAACTTCCTGATCTTTCATGTAAACTATTCTCATTGATTTGTATTGTTTGCCATCGTATGACATTATTTTAACATCAGTTTTTTTTTTACATTTAAAACATTAAAATAATATAATCAATGTAAAAGAAACACTTCTATGTTGTAAATTTGTCTTAATTTTGCAATTATATATCATTAACAACTTGTTACTTGTTTTTATAGTATTTTAAGTGTAGCTCATCATAGTATTCTTTTCACCTTTTCAGTTTCCAAAGATAATTTCATTAACTGCCAACTCTCACAAGAAATTGCTCCAGGACAGTTTCCAAAACTCTGTATTTAAAAAAAATAAGATTATTAAAAATGTTTTATGTTTCCTGAGCAGTGAGCCCTGTTCTACCTTGACATATACTGTATATACCTTGTATAAAAAAGTATTCATATATCCATACAGTATTCTTCCTTTTCGTATGCATGAGCAGCATTTTAAATAATTGCCCATGAAATGTATTTTCAGACTCTGGTCAAACGATGGCACACAAACTGATAATTATGGCATTTTATGCAAACCAAAATATAGTAATGAACAAACCGTGATATAGTGTTACCTTGTTCTAATGCCCTCTACTGTAATTGTCAAGGTATCAATGAATAAAGAGTATTATATTTTTGTACACAAACTGCCTTTGTTTTCTACTATACATCACCAAGTTCATACCTTTAGCAGTTCATGTAATCTAGTTTGGCAAAAAAGTTACTTTTAGTTATTGTGTCATTTCTATATTTTTTAATTTCAGCACTCACAGAACTCACAAAACATTTATTTTGATCAAATTAATTCATTTCTGGATTCATGTCAGCTCTGTCTACCTGCAGAAATGATCGAAAATGGACTGAAGGAATTTCCCCAAGAGTTTCCTTATTCATTTTTAACCAAACTTTTTTATTTCTTTTATTACAGACCTGCTGTGCGTCACTTTTCTTTGAGTCCTGCTTCATTTGTTTGTTTCTTTCCAGAATCCTCCTGAATGATGGTGCATACAAAACAACAACCATCTGCCCTGAGTTGAGAGTTCATGTCACGAGGGCTGCCCCAGAGAAGAAACACATCTATTTATTTATGCTTAAGCTTCCATTTGCATCATGTTAATCATCGTCCCCTGTCTTGGAGTGCAGTTTTGCATCATTGTAATAGAGCGCTGCTGGTCATGTCCTCATGTTCACTGTTTTTGATGAATATAAAGAGACATGACCAACATCTTGATTCCCTTTTCTTTTAATCTTGGTGTAATTATAGACTCTGGTTTGTGTTTTAACTCCCAAACGCAAAGTCAGGTCTGGTAAATGGTTCTGTGATTGAACCAGAACAAAGAGAAGCTGTGTTCACTTATCATGGTTCCATATCTGGGGGAAAGACATCCTCACAAGATGTTAAACTGTGGTTATCATATCATATAATTTAATATTGGTTGTTTTTTAGACCTTTTTTTTCTCTTTCTTGCCTGTTTTTTATCTAAAGGACTTTGACAGAATAACTTTCCTTACTCAACAGAATAAACACATGCAGTGTGGTATAATATATGCAAATGCTCATATTCAAAGCTCTATCTTTTGCAGAGTAGTAGTGTTTTGTTGGCATTATTAAGCAGCTTACTGATGGTTTCAAATTTGCGACTCTGCTTAATGCTCCAGGAATAAAACAATCAGATTTATTTTATAACAGAGATGTACAGTAGATGTAGACTAACACATTGTTAACGTTTTTACCAAGTCTAATGTGCCTCCATGAACCATTAGGGTGCCTAGGTTTGTTGTCTTCTCTTCTCAGAAATGGACTTCCTGTTGCAGTGTTTCATGTTGTAGAGCAGCACCGCACCAGCGTCTGTGAGAAACTGGTGTAAAATATGAACAAACAAAAAAAACTATTAGGAAATATTCAGCAAATTGGCCAATTAAGCAAAAGATAGAGATTTGAACTTGCAAAAATACTTAATATTTCAGACAAAAGGAAGTTGGAGCTGTCAGCAGGAGAGTGTGAAACCACAGAGAATACACAGTATCATTAATTTAAGGTGAATGACCTGTGATTTTACCTGTGAGTCTGACATAACACATTGTCTCTGTAAAAAAAAAAAAAGGTAAATCACAAAGATTATACCTGATGTAACAAACTCTAACATTCATACTGTATGAACTCACCCGTGTAATGTCATGAATGTTGTTGTAAATGGGCTCCATAGTTTTAACCCAGTCCTGGTAAGTCTCTTTATCTTTGACACTGTGATTGTGCTCACTGCAAACACACAAAAATAAAAAATAAAATAAAAAATACATATATATATATCACTACAAAAGTAGTGATAAAATTATCAAACATGAAAATATTCTTTGTCCATGTTTGTCCAAAAATGGCCAGAAGTTAGCTAAGAAATAATTTAAATTCTAGAGATAGATTCCAGCATTTTTTTTCCCCTGAAAAAGCTACAGGGAAACCATTTAAATTAATTCCAATAAATCAATAAACTGCACTTTAGACTAATTTGGTGAAGGTATTCTCCAAAAAAACAAACAAACAAAGTTTTTTGTGATTTTAACTCTTGACTGCAGGGATTTTTAACTTCCTGTTTGTTATGCCATAAGAACGGTGGTGTATGAATAAACAGTGTAAATGTACTTGTACTATTGAGTTTGGTCATTTTTCCCCACATCTTGTTCTAGTTGCTCACATAGAAAATGTATTACTTTCCATATTTTTACAATCCAAACCGCAGCTTCCCTAAAACATTAACAGTGGAGCAGGAGCAAATGATCAACACATGGATGCATTTGTCATTTTCTGCGTTAAATTCACTAAATATTAACAGCAGTTGCTGAGATCTACTGTCATGCAACACGTTTCTCACACATGACCCCCCCGCCAGCCCCCCCTCCGGCCTGTGGCACTCACATGGCTCGCTCGATCAGCTTCTTCTGCAGCTCTCCCTCTTTCCTGGCGTCCAGGAAGCGACCTCTGACTGCCAGAGCGGCGCTGACCTGTGACGAGTTGAGCTGAATGATGGCCAGAGACAGCGAGGACAGGGCCGCGGAGCTGAGGGGGAGGATAGTCAGACCAACGTTTACAGCTTCAACCTCACTATAAATACTTTACTGCAGCATGAAAACACAAAGGGGCCAATTTATAGCTGCTGACAGAGAGACTTCCACTGAACTTGTATGTGAAGCAGACAAGTCTGAGGGCAGTGACTGGTGACATGGAATTGACCACAAATGTGAAATATATGCAGTGATCAAGTGAAAACTATGAAAAGAGAAAATTGAAAAACTGCAGCCTACAAAATGTACTTACTATTACTACTAATAATAATAATTATTAACAATTACAATAATAATAATAATTATTATTATTATTATTAACAATTACAATGTGGCGCTCTGGCCCAGAGGCAATGTCTCTGTCATTGGTGTGGAACCCCAGGGTTCACCTCCTGGGTAAGTTTGAATCCCAGTTAGGGCGGTTGGTACCTTCCAGTGGACTGACCACCTGCAGGAAGGTTCAGGGGGGTTGGTACGGTGCAGTGTGATTTGGGTGGCCACTGCTGCCCCCACGACCCGGTAATGTATTTAAAGTTAAAAATGTCGGAAATATAATAAATATATCTTTGCTATGCTTTATGCTCCCTGTAATGTTTTTTAAAATGTTTTTCAACAAGAAATACAAAATTCAAACACCTATGGCCTTTATTCTGTTCCACTGTGTCATTTTTAGCCGGTCCTTGAAGTTCAAATGTTCAGGACGGCCAGAACAACACACACACAGTATCTCAGTGCTAAAGTGCTGCAGCGGTGAGTGTGTGTGAATGGAGTGACTTTAAATACAGCCAGTGAAGCAGCGTCGTCATGGAAACATCACAGTCACCTGTCATCGGTGACATCTCGGTTTGCAGTTATCACCCTGAGCCTGGTCTGTCCATTCTTCTGTCTGAACCTGATCTGCAGCTGGATGGACACACAGCTGCCAGAGGCTGGTGGTGAGACTGAACAGGAGCAGAAGGAACGCACACACAAACACACAAACACACACACACATATTACAGGCTTACAACAACCTTCAGTTTCCAGTGCTGAAAGTCACATGAAACAGCGTTATGGCGTTGGTTTGGTATTTACTCCAGTGCTTGACTAATATTTAACAGGTCTCAGGTCAGGTCACAGTAAAGTGAAGAACTTAGTGATTTTTAGGTTTAGTCAATGTCTCAACATAAACCTCTTCATTTCATGCATTTAGTTTTGGTCAATGTTGTGGATTTAAGTTTGACTGATTATTTTCATATCACTTTGTAAAAGGACACAGCGTTGTCTCACCACTGACTATTTTCATTACCAGCAGCTTTTACTTTAAATCTATTTTTTTGCTTTTTTTGTACTTAATATTTTCAGCTTTCCAAGTCACTGCATGGCTACAGTAATGACCTCTGCAGTCACCACTGGCTGAGAAGCAGCTGGCCATAACTTATTTATTTTATTTTCAACAAATTAATCCTTTTTTTATTTTAAATCCCAGATGGTAGTTTCAGAGCAGTTCAAATGTTCAATGACAATCTGGACAAAAGAGGCTGGTTATACCAAAACATTATACCAAAAAAGTCATAGCAACTCTAACAGTAAATACTGACAATGTTCACATTTTCATTCGTTAGAAGGTCAATATCAAGTGTAATGGTCTGCTACTATTGAGATGTTGAGCTTTTATAAAAGATAAAGAGAATAGAGAAAAGGCTTTTAGGCCACCACATAACCTCTCCCTCACCTTGGCTGTCATGCTGACTGGCTCCAAACTGGATGGTGATCTCAGTGTCTGGGTCCACATTCCCCACCTCTCTGACGGCCTTGTGTGCAGACTCCCTCTCTCCCCTCACACTCCTGCAGCAGAGGTGGATAATTTCAAAATATGTACTTACGCACCATCCATCCATCCATCCATCCATCCGTACGTCCATCCATCCATCCATCCATCCATTCATCCATCCATCCGTCCATCCGTCCATCCGTCCGTCCGTCCATCCCTCCATCCATCCATCCGTCCATCCATCCGTCCATCCATCCATCCCTCCATCCATCCATTCATCCATCCATCCGTCCATCCGTCCATCCGTCCGTCCGTCCATCCATCCATCCATCCATCCACCCATTCATCCATCCATCCATCTGTCCATCCATTCATCCATCCATCCATCCATCCGTCCATCCGTCCATCCGTCCGTCCGTCCATCCATCCATCCATCCGTCCGTCCATCCATCCATCCATCCATCCGTCCATCCATCCATTCATCCATCCATCCATCCATCCGAGCACCTATCTAATCATTTCTCTTAGGTCTAAAGAAACCCTTTGGCCACGTGTCTTACAGGGACTTGGGCAGCAGTAATGTGACACTGCAGTGTGTGGCGATGGTCCTGTTCATAATGATGTTTTCAAACTCTTGATGCAGCATGTTCGGACTGGCTATCACCACCTTGGAGAAAACACAGATGACATGAGACACTCCTGACCTAAAGGCCGATGTCCTTGATGAAAATCCCATTGACATGTGCAGCTCAGCATCACGTCGTCTCTTACTCTCCCTGAGGTCCGATCAGCCAGTCGCCCCAGCTCATCCAGCCGACAGTCTGTCCCCTCTATGGACAGCACAGACACCGTCACACTGATGGAAGAAGCAAAACTCAGCATCATGTTCATGGTCACAGTGACTTCACCTCAGCTGTCACCCTCCATCATTTCACCTGCATCATTAGCACAATGATTACGTCTGTCAGCGGAGCTGATTGGCTAATTAGTGTATCTCTGTGTCCTCTGGACAAACTGTAGTGTGTTAATAACACTGAATACACAATTTGTCATGTTCTGTCACTGATTTAAAAACACACACTCACCCCTGATTAGCGGCGTACTCCCCCAGGTCTTGGTAGAAGATAGTGGACGACAGGAGGGTTCTGGCGTCGTTCTCCTCCTCTTCCAGATTTCCCAAGCCTGTGTTGGCCTTCCCATCTGTACAGATAATGACCTTTAGGATCAGCAGGGATAACAGGTCAGGAATATATGCTTTAGATAACATCACAATTAAAAAACAAATTACAACTTTCAGTAAAAATAACAAGAATGAAAAGAAGAAATGTTCATGAGAGCAAAAGAGGAATCTAGGCTAATGTCCTGTCCTGAACAAACTCTGCAGGGTTACAGGACAGTTAATGCCCCAAATAAATGACCTTTGATATTTAACACTGCTATGAAAAATAGAAGATAGAATGAATGAAATCTATTTTTACTCAACAAGGTCACCAAAGAATTTAGAAAACCCAAACCTACTTTGGACCCTGGTTGTCTGGAGGCCATTGCAACAGCCAGTAGAGCAGCTGGGCCCAAAGCTGTGGTTCCACTTTCAGTTAAGCTACAAAATAAATAATAAAAGACAATAGAGTTTTATTACTTCAATATAAACAATGTTTGATTGTATAGATTTGTTTTTGTTATTTTTACCCCTTAACTTGGCTCTGCAGGAAGTCCTTGGTCAGTGAGAGTGGAGGCGGAGTGGGAAAACTGGCTGCGGCCTCTTTGATACAGTTGCTGTCAATCAAATCTGCACCACTTAGGATATGTGATCCTAAACTGCCATATCCATGCAACCTGACCTGGAAATATGAATAAAGTAAAAAAATAAAACTTGTTAAAGATGATAAAAAAGGCAAATGCTACTGTGGTACAAATGAATACAGAAACTGGAAAGGTGTTCAACAAAAACAGATTTAACACATTTGAATCATTTGAAATAGATATAATATTTGTAGCCCAGATCTGGTCAATAGCCAGAATATTACACATTTATTTAGAGCTTAGATTTAGATAAATGGAAAAGAATGGTTGTAGTTTGTTTCACCTGTTGTAGTTTGTTTCACATCTGTTCGGGAACATGAGGACAGTATTGTCATATGTCAGCCAGTCCTTGTCCAAAAAGAGCAGTGGATATTTGTCCCAAAATTCCTAGGTATATAAGAGCATTTGGGCCACATTTGACATGTGGACCACATAAGGTTTTGCATCTTTTTTTTTCTGGGGCAGATGCAAAGTCTCCATCTGTGCCAGTTGTGGCCCAGACCTGTGTACTGTCTACAATGAAATGATCAGTCATGGACTAGACTAGTACCAGAGACTGACAGTTTGAAGAACTATTATTACAATTTGTGAATTTGTTCCCACTAACATAACACATCAGGATGTTGTCACCGTTGTCAACATCATCATTAATCATTAGTCCCTGTAACACACCTTGACCCAGCAATGACCCAACAACTTTATCCTTGTAACCCATTTCTGGGCCACAACCCAGCATTTGTAGGCGTATTATACAGTCCACGTACGTGGTTGTTGAAGGTGATGAGGCCCACTCTAATGTCTGGTTGCTGTTCACTCAGTCTCTGAACACACAGCACCACCGCTTCCTGGACAAACTGAACACAGCAGTGGGTTTTAATGTTAGTCAGGAGACACAGACTGTGGCTGCTGCTGCTGCTGCTGCTG